CCCATCCCCCCCCCTCCGACCCTACCGCCTACTCCTTCGCCGATACCTATGTCGCTCGTGCGCCGCCGTCGCGGCAGTCGCAACCGGCGATGCGGCGACCCCCGTGTGCCCGCGAGATCCGTACGTCGCGCCGTCGTCCTCGTAACTGCGGCGCACACAACGAGATGATCAGCTGTAATTTTATTATTGTTATCGATGCAGCGCGATCCGCAATGTCCCGTAATTCAAGGGGCGCCCGCGGGGTAATTTTCACACGGGGGACGGACCGATACGATATTCCGGGACCCATTCATAGCGGTATATTATAGATCGCTAGGTTTTTTTTTTTTTTTTTGCAAAAGAAACGAGGAAAACATGGTACGTGGTTATCGTAAACGTAGGCGTTAGCTTTGAACAAAAAAAAAAACCGTTAAGTGCCGTAAGCGAAGTCGAGACGTTATAATAATCTGCCGTTTGTACATTTGTGAACGCAGTAAGATTATTTGTTATTTTCGCCGGCCCTCGTTTGTCCCGGGCTGGCGAAACCGCGCTACCCGTTAATTCGGTTTTCGAACGGCGGCTCGTACCGAAAATTCCGTCAACGGATGGAAACCGCACGCGGGAAACCGTCCGTCGAGCCGAAGTACTTTGAACGAATTTGAAATGTCGAAGTGCGGGGGAGGGGGAAGGGGGCTGCTCCGTCTTGCCCTCGAACCCCCCCCCCCTCATTCGGGCGCCCGCGGCTGGGGCCGACGGCCGCGTACGCGCCCGCGCGGCGAACGGGTTTCGCATCCAACAGTGTAAACCATACGCCTGCTCTGATCGCGTGTACCGTAAAACGTCCTCTCGAGTCCGGCACCGGCCTGCCGGGTAACCCGTCGCCGTAACACGGCACCGCGGTCTGAACTGCGCTGCCGCTGCCGCAGCATCCGGGCCGGTAATGAAATGACTAATGAGTACGACGAGACGGTAACCGCGCGTAATCGACCGTGAAATTTCTCGACGGACCCCCCTCATTCGTTGTCGTATAATAACATTATAGACGCGCGGTGCTGCAATCGTTACAATAATATTATTATTATTGTTATTATTATTTTTTTTTTTCTTCTGGACTTAAACCGCGCGCAGACCACGCGCTGACAAAGGGGCCCGCCGCCGCGGCAATCGGTACGGAGATAATTATACGACTTGTCGTCATCATCACCACCGCATCGCCATTATTAATGTCGACCGTCTCTCCTTTTTTGGTTTCTGAGGTTTTTTTTTTTTTTTTTTTTCC